TGAAGCTGGACCCGGGCAGGCCCGGGCCCTGCACCCGCCCGGCGACCTCTGACCTCCCCTGCTCCCCGTTCTCACGGTGTCTCCCCCACTCCTGCAGACAGAAGCTGTCGGGCGAATACTTTTTCTTTCTCTCTTTTTTTTAAGTACTGTTTCAGCTTCTCAGTGGCTGGACGTGTGGGTAGGCAGGAGGGCTCTGCCGCGCGGGGGCCTCGTACTCCCCGGAGAGCATCAGCATCACGGAGAACGCGGAGGTGCAGGACGACGACATCTTCATCGTCACCTACCCCAAGTCAGGTACCTGCGGGGGGGGGGGGGGGGAGGTTTCCCCGTTGGGGGAAAGCGGTGGGGCCTTAGCGTCTGCCTGGAGGAGGGGGGGTGAAGAGTCCGTGTCTGGAAAGCACTTAGCCCCACTGTGCGCGTGGGAGGAGCTCCGCCTCCCGCCAGCTGTGTGGCTTTGGGCAAGTCACTCACCCTCTCTGTGCCCCGCTCTCTTCACCCGTAACAAGAGGATAATAGTCATTGTCACCTCGCAGGGCTGTTGCGGGGTTTCGGTCCCCCATTGGCGGGGCAGATGCCAAAACGAGGCGCCTAGAAAGCTCCTCCACCTCACGGGGTGGCCTTGGCCTCTGTCCTGGCGGGTTCCGCCCCCCAGGGGCACCCCTCTCCCAGGTCCCTCTCCTGCCCCAGGTCAGCACTCAGGTCCCCAGGGAGCCTTCCCTGACCTCCGTGGCTAAAACAGCATCCCCGCCCCTACACAAACACACCCTGGCTGGTGTTGCTCAGTGGGTAGAGCGTCGGCCTGTGGACTGCATGGCCCCAGGTTCAATTCCGGTCAAGCGCACATGCCTGGGTTGCAGGCTCCATCCCCAGCAGGGGGCGTGCAGGAGGCAGCCGATCAATGATTCTCTCTCATCGCTGATGTTTCTCTCTCTCTCTCCCTCTCCCTTCCTCTCTGGAATCAATAATAATGTATTTTTAAAAATAAAAATAAATAAAAGAGCGCCCCCCTCCTGTCCCTCTCCATCCCCTTAACCACCTCATCCTCTACCCCATGGGATGCTGCCAGCAGCTGCGTATTTTATCTTGATTTGTCCTCTGGTTTCCCACTAGAATCTGAGCTCCATGCGGGCAAATGTGTTCGTTTGTCTTGTTCACGGCTGTGTTCTCTGAGCCTGAAACAGGGCCGGGCACATCATAAGCATTCAATGCATGTTTGCTGAAGATAGGGAGGGAGGGGGAGACTTGTGGTGCCTTCACTCAAAGTCCTTTGGGGAGGTTTTAGTGAGAGCGACAAACTTCGGCATTTTCTTCTCTAAAATGATGGATTGGCACCTCTTTTTTCCAAAATATTTGTGAAAATTTTCAAACTATGACATTTCACCCCTTCGGCATGGAGCTCTACGAGGGTTGTTTTGGGGAGCAGCTTTGAGATACAATTCACACCATCCACTCGCCCATTTTAAAATATTTGTGTTGATTTCAGAGAGGAAGGGAGAGGGAGAGAGAGTTAGAAACATCAGTGATGAGAGAGAATCATCGATCGGCTGCCTCCTGCACGCCCCCCACTGGGGATGGAGCCCGCAACCCAGGCATGTGCCCTGACAGACCGGGAATCGAACCGTGACCCCCCTGGTTCATAGGTTGGCGCTCAACCGATGAGCCACGCCAGCCGGGCCGATTCACCCGTTTTAAAGTGCAATTCTATGCTGCTGGGTATTCACAGCTGGGCACCCATCAGTACCGTCAATTTTAGAACATTCCCATCACCCCAGCAGGAGCCGGTACCCACCAGCCATCACCTCCCAGCCCCACATTCCTGCCCCCAGGCCCCGGCGATCATTAATCCGCTTCTGTCCCGGGTCGCCTGCTCTGGACATTTCAAACCATTGGAATCGGACACCGCATGGCCTCTGGCCGCGTCTCTCACTCAGAGTCGCGCTGGCCTGGTCCGTCTCCACCAGCTCCTGGCTGACGCGCGCTCACCACCTTCCAATCCTTTGCCTTTAGCACAATGTAAGCTTTTTTAAAAAATATGTTTTTATTGATTCCAGAGAGGAAGGGAGAGAGAGAGGGAGAGAGAAACATCAAGGATGAGAGAGAATCATTGATTTGCACGCCCCCTGCTGGGGGATCGAACCCGCAACCCGGGCACGTGCTCTTGTCCGGAATCGAACCCAGGACCCTTCAGTCCGCAGGCCGACGCTCTGTCCACTGAGCCACGCCGGCTGGGCCCACGGTGTGAACTGTACACACGATCCCCCTTCTCGCACACACATCACGTGCACGCGTACACACTTGCACATGTGTGTGTGTTTTTTTTATTATGGAGAATAAACTCCAAGGCACGGAATTGCTTGGTCGAAGGGCTGTGCATTGGCAGTGGTGGTGGAGACGGCCAAGGTCCCCCCGGGCACCCGGTGGCAGCCTGTCCCCCAGACAGCAGGCTGTGCCGGAGGTGCCCGGTGGCGACGCTGGCACCCACAGGGGGTGACTTAACGCCACCGGACTGTGCGCTTCAAACGGGAGCGCCGGCCAGTTTCACGTTCCGTATGTTGTACCACAAAGAACGCATTCTTCCCTGGCAACAGGGGGTGGCACTGCCAAGGGGGGAAGGCAACCGTGACCCCCTGGTTCATGGGTCGGTGCTCAACCGCTGAGCCACGCCAGCCGGGCCCATTCGCCCGTTTTAAAGTGCAATTCTGTGGCTGCGGGTTTTCACAGCTGGGCACCCATCACCACCGTCAGTTTTAGAGCATTCCCATCACCCCAGCAGGAACCGGTACCCACCGAACCACGCCAGCCGGGCGTAAGGGGGCGGGGGGACGGGCAGTGGGTGTCCCCGGGTCCCTGGCAGCGCGGGCCTCTGTCCATCTCGCAGCCCCGGAGAGGAGCCGATGAAAGACCCATCCTCTGTCTGCTGGGCTCCTCCGGCGCCCTCTGCTGACGGCCCTCGGCATTGCGCCGGCCGGCGGAGGAGAAA